TATTAAAATGTATCATCTTTTGTAATCTTGTTCTCTTTTCACTTTATTACAGTGTTGTTTCTGCAAATGTTTACATTTTATCACAGATTGCTGCCTTTTATAATGGTACTTTTAAATTATGTGGTTTTCAGTTAGATTCGGTAAAAGTAAAAAAAAAGTTTTTAGGTTTTTTTATGTTCTGGTTGACTGAAAATGTACATCATCACGGTTTTCGTTTAACAACTTGTTTTGTCCTTCAATAATTTACGTTTCAAATTGTTTATGCATTCAGACATTTTTTGTTTTGTACTGGTTTAAGAATAACTTTAATAACCATAAAATAACCATAAAATTATGCATTAAAGCGTTATTTTGTAGGACAAAGAATCACATGTTCAATACATCTCTGTGTTATTTTGATTCACTCTAGACTTCAATGTTAGATGACAAATACTACAATTACTAAAGCATTTTTTATTCTTACTTACTTAAATCTCAACTTGACTCTAACTGAAGCCATAAAAACAAATGCTAAGTTATAGATTGAAATGTTATCACCATTTGTACAAAGAATGCTCATTAGATGTGCACAAGTTCTTGTTTGAAAATTTACATTTTGTTTGTGAACTGATTTGTCTCATGTTCACGTTGGCTCTTTGCTGCAACTAACTCAGTCCCTTTGAAAGAAAATGGCCAACACAAGCTGTAAGAGCCTATTTTTAAGGCTCCATTACATTGTTGATGAATTGTTAAAGATCAATGTATAGATCAGCAGTTTCAAACACCTCATCTGTTACCTCCAGATTGTGCTCTGAAATAAGTTCTACAAATATTAAAGACATCTTCATCACATGAAAACTCTTTGAACACACAGTTTTCCAAGCAGGCTTCAACATGGTGCAGATAGTCCCTTGCTCCATACAGGTGAGGTACTGCGTGTATGATGGATGGACGGCCATAAGGACTTTGGGAGTCGTGCACTGGCCGTATCCTGTGGTTTTCCCATGCTAAGGCAATTTCATTTAGTTCTTCCTATGAGAGAAAAAAATATAACAAAAACAAAACAAATTCCTAAGAGATGTCATCCGTCTCCATGATGACATCCCTCAACTTGTCAACAAAGTCCATAGTGTTCTGTATGTGATGTTCTGAGCTGCCAACTAAAGGACCAAGCACTGACGCTAGATATTTGACCCTAAAGACCCTAAACCCAGACCCAAACCAGTCCTCATTCCATATGTGGTTGGGGGTTTTAGAGAAACTGAGATGTTTATTCTCTAAACAAGACGTCCCAGTGGCTTTCAAACCCCAAAACACGTTACGGCAAAGATTAGTTCACCCCAAAGATCCAGTTCCCCGGCAAAAACAGAGCAATATATATATATATATATATAT